CATTCTGTATCGCATAATTATGTTTCACGCTCGTTTATTATTCATAGCTTTAATGTACCATTTCACTACTCGTATTGCTTTGCCGTAAATCAGTTAATATCCAGATAACGAGATCGCGCGCGCGCGGAAGATCTTTTCTCATCGCAATGCGAAGTACCGTGCCATCGTATTTCATGTCAAGAACTCTTTACTGGCATTTACTTCGAGAGACTGAATTGCTGCCTTAATCTCACAATTGAAATTTAATATTTAATTTGAATTGAAAGGCTCTATTCTTACCTATCTCTTTAATATGGTTACCAACGTAACTGCAGAGTGAATTGATAAAACTGAAAGTTAGAAGTCACTTGAGAGCTCGCGAGGCCTGCCGCGTTAAAACCTGATGGCTGACTCATTCGATCTTGAACTACTGCACGTGGCAGAGACCGATTCTACTTATGCTGGGGATTTAGTTTAAAGCAGCCATAAGATGTGGGCTCTGCTTAGAAGAATGCTAATGCGACCTCGCACCTCTGTCTGTATTACTTTGGATAATGTCAAGTTCAACTTTTGACGCAGGCATCTGCGTCGTTCTACTCCTATTTTCCTTCGATATAAATCTACGCGAAAGATATGACACTCAAATCTGCGTTTTCCATTTTGTGAAATCGCGTTTGTATACGCAATGATATATTTAGCCTCTTCGTTATCCAACTCTTTAAGTAGCGAGCGAATAAAGGAAAATGATTTGCATATAAAAGTTCAAAGATATCAAACTTTTAATGAAAGATTACGGTTTCGTAACTTTAAAGTAGCGATAGAAAGAAAGTAGTAAATATCAGATGATATTTTAACGTAACTAATTAACTCTTATTGTTATACAGAAACATTGTTCCGAGGGATAAACCGCCGACCAAAATCATGTACACCAATGCCTACTAATGCCCAGTGGGTATTACTTTATCTTATTTTATCTTTATAATGCCCCCCCAGCAAGGGGGCCTAATGCTCAAAAATAGGACCTTGTAATGCCCAGTGGGCATTACTTTATCTTATTATCTTATTCATCTTGTTTTATCTTATTTTATGATGCTCCTGCAAGGGAGCCTAATGCCCAAAAAATGCCCAGTAATGCCGCAAATCTCTACACCACTATGCCCTCAGCGGTTTACCCCTCGCATTCTTTACATTTAACGATATCTCATCGCAATGTGTTTTACGCTCGAAATTTGTCGCTCGTAGCATTTTCCGGTAATCTCCTTATTGTAAAACCGATCACGCCTCGTTTTGTACCATCATTCCGGATTCAAGTCGCGCATATACAAGCACTTACATCTTTGTTGTAAGGTTACAATGCATGATGCACAGGTAGGGTGTTGTACGCGTTGCCGTCAATCTTGGGCGAGTTAATAACTCGCGAGGGGCCGCCGGAGCTCGCTCCTATTAATATACAATAATGCCAACACATCGAGCCCCTTGTATGTACATTCTCGGTAGTTGGCGAAACGTCAGACGCTTCCGTGTAGGACAAAGAGAGATACCCGTGCACGATTCGTCGCGTGGCCCTTGACACACGTGAGGACCACTAAAAACGTGCCGGGATGACTGCCACGTAGACGACCGCGGCGTCTTCGTGAAAAACTTGCGTGCAGCCCCCTCGGCTCGTATTTCGAACCATCTTACGACTCGTAGCGAGACCATAGTAGCCCGAGCCATCGTGAATGTTACGCTGAAATATTCAATTTGATTCTCGATACGAGAGTTATTTCGGGACGTGACATTTCGGCGCCGCGCCGAATGGTTCATTCAATAGTGGAGGGGAAATTTGCATTTGCAAAAATGTACGGTGCGAGATACCGCGTTTCGCGTTCAATTGTACTGCATATGCTCTGCGGCGCAAAGTAGTCACTTTGAATACCAATGGATGAAGCGGACGAATGTAAAAAAATAAGACTGTAAAACTGATTGTAAAAATTTTCATTTTTCTCCGTTTCAAACGGGGACACGACAAGACCGTTTTACTTACCGCTTGCGTTTGCAATTTGGACCGACTGATTTCTCATTTTAACCGTTTGACTCTTATAACTTCCTACTACTTGGCCTGCAAGGTTATACTAATTGCGTTTTACACGAATATTTTTTGGTATGTTATACATTTGTTATTTCGTACACTGAGAAAAATTTTCAATTCAATTATATAATCGGATAATCCAATTACATAATAATAAACGGATATATCTATAATTTAATTGGAAAACGTAATCGGACATTTTTCTCAGTGTACTGAAGAAAGTCTAATGACATGACAGACCGATTACGTTTATTATTCGAATTAATTTGGTAACCAGTTGTAAACATTAACGTTAACAACCTGCGTTGGTTCAACCGCCTATTTTCCTATCGTGATGGGTGTAAGATTTGTGTGTTTTTATCTAACGTTAACAACTGCTCATCAACGACTAATAATGACTTTGCGCTCGAGCAGTGTCAAAATAGTCAAGACACGTGTTCAAGGTCTCCGAATGCGTCGCTAAGCGAGAGAATTTATATTCTGAGTACAACTAGAAGATAAATTTCTTTTGTCGAATTACAGAAACGCGTTTCAAGAGCTATTAAAAATAGTCTCAATTATTTTTACGCTAATCGTATATGTAACTCTTTTACGCTCACTAAGTCCGCGATAAAAGTGATTTCTCTTTCGAAACTACGGTTCTTTTAAAATGCAAAATATGCAAGTAATGCTGTTACGTAAAATCTTGTATATAGCTTACGTAAAGACGAGCAAATATTATTCTTTTTCCGTTTTTCCATTGGTTTTTTTGTTCGTGACCTTGCATCGGTTGATATTTAGCTCATGATTACGGAGCTGTTACGCTTATTGTTAATAATTGCAGCGATTTCGTTCATCCTATCCGAGTTTATGTTGCAGAGAGATCACGACTGACAAGTTTTGCGAGTAGGTTTTTTTTTACATAACCTGCAGCGTACACGACACGTGTCGGAAGCCATCTCGGTTATCTTTATCTCGCAATATATTTATTCAGAAATATGTGCGATTAAATATAATCGAATAATCCAATTACATAATAACAAGCTATCCGATAGAATGGAATATATCCGATAAAAAATATGTCGGCTTTTCAATCAAATTTCATCGGTGACTGCATTTCATCGGATGTATCCATAATTTAATCGGAAAACGTAATCGGAAAAATTAACCAGTGGGAAGTTTATTTAATTGGTTTATCCGATGGAAATTTTCCTCAGTGTTGTTATGAGCATGATATACCGTCGTAAAATAATAATGCTTCAATATATTATTATTATTAATACAAAGTTAGCAATAAATGGGCCAATAGGGTGACGAGCAACATTCAATTTAATAAAATAATAATTAACATTTTGAATATATAAAAGTCAAATTGTCAGGGATTATGAAATTTTAGACAGAGATAATTAATACAATTTTTTGAAGTAAGCACGCAGTCTAATACAACTAACAGTAACAGGTACAGAGACTAATAAATAATATGAAACACTTGAGTACAGAGTCTTATGTAAATTGAATAGAATACGCGAACGTTTCGACTGTACTTAGTCCTCTTCAGCGCGAATTAAAACTAAAAGAATGTTTTTCAAGTAAATAATGTGTATATAAGAATAAAACAAAGGATGAAGTCAATACAATTTTTGTCATGTGCTAAAGTAAAATGATGTTACTGTTAGTTGTATTAGACTGCGTGCTTACTTAAAAAAATTGTATTAATTATCTCTGTCTAAAATTTCATAATCCCTGACAATTTGACTTTTATATATTCAAAATGTTAATTATTATTTTATTAAATTGAATGTTGCTCGTCACCCTATTGGCCCATTTATTGCTAACTTTGTATTTTTAATATAATACGAGCTTGATATAATACTTTATTATTATTATTATTTTATAGTACATATTATTATATGTATTTTCCAATGCCGGGGCATATTGGTACGAGCGATCCTTGGCGCCGTGATAAGAACTCGCACGTTTTTTATCGGTTTTTTGGGCTTGCATCCACATCGGATTTCAGTATTATAAAATATAAAATATTTTTTTAAGGGATCGTCGCTTGAAAAAGAACGAAATGCCAAAAATAAAAATAACATTTAAAATTGAAGGTTGATCCCGGAAAACAATCGTGTGTTGATGCAACATTCCCGGCTGCGAAAGCCGCGTTAGAAAGCACGTGTTCCGTTTCCGTAAGATGGGAAAGTAGTATGTCGCAAAGGCGTCGAGATCCCTGATTTATAGCTTACACTTTCACAGCATTATCGCAGCTGTGTTTTATTTATCAAAGTACAGAAAAGACACTATTTGTTTGTCACAGATTGTGATAAGAACGGAGTTGTAATTAGCATGCTTCGCGTATACGCATTTTGAATGTATAATTTTGCCACGTAAGAATCATATATGCTCGGATATGTAAACGCGTATAGCGTGTCAGATACTCGGATATGAAAACGAGAGATTTCCTCAACCGTCTTTTATCGGACTTCCGGTGTTTCACGCGCTATACGTCGTTTTCCCCGTTCAGAAATCGCGAGAGAAAGAAGCGGCGTTGATTCGTATTTGCATACCGATTAGAGATAGACTAGAACCCGTTCTGTGCTTCCTTTTTTCCTTATAAAAATTTCCGTTTCAGAAATACGGAAGTTGCCCGTGGAAAACTTTAGTCACACCTTCTGCGTTTCCACGCGATGTGTTAAAATTATATGATATCTCTCGGTTACATAATTTTGCCGTCAATATTGATATTGGAAATCGTTATTTATATAAAAAGAAAAAGAAAGAGAGAGGAAAGACTGTTAAAGCATTATAAGTTTCCTTAAATGTAAGACCACGTCCACTAGCAATACGCCATTCTTCTTGTTGCTCCCCCCAGCGTTTTTCTTTTCCGTACGTAAAATAAAGCAGAGGAAACAAGGTATTGCAAGCGTTCACGACCTGATTGCGTCTAACGACGATTCTTTTTCTGTTACAGCCACAAGACAAAGGACGATACATCCTCGAATATGTGTGCAAGCAGCTCAATATTTTGGAGATGGACTATTTCGGGCTTCGCTACGTCGATAAAGAAAGGGAAAGGGTAAGTGAAAAGATGTACGTTTATAGAACGATAAATTCGTAGGGAAACGCCGCTCCCAAGACATCGTACTTTTAGCTTCTTGCACATCTCATCTCTTCAGGACGTCTTCGCGAGCGAGTCAAAGTCAAGTTCGCGACGTAAAGTGTTCGCATAATTACCGCTTGGGTTTTTTTTGTTAAATTTGTTACTCTCCAAAGAATGATGGTTGACATGTTTGCGGAAGACGGAACGATCTCTGTCACGCAATTAAATTCGCTCTACTAACACCTGGAACGGCATGGCGTGCGCCGCACACTCCATCGTAATCGTTATTCTTAGGTCATCGGTGTAATTCCGGAGGACTTAAAAATAGGCGTGCCTTGAAATACCAACGTATTCATCGTAGTACACCGTTGTACTTGACTCACGAACGCGCGTTAACGGCTCATCATTTATTCCGCTCTCATCCATTCGTAATATTCCAAATTAAAACTTACGCGATCGAACTTTTATTTCGAGAAAGATACGTTAATGAAATTTATCGCAGAAACGACGCAACTGCCCGTGCCCTAGTGCTTTGCTGCTACAAATTTCACTTCAACAAGACAAAAGGGTGCAAAGGGATTTATTATCGATCTCGAAATAATATTTATGTCGTTCCGGTACAACAGTGCGTTGTTTCAACGCATCGATCGCCGCGATTCCAGGGCCAGAGGGTACAAATCTAATTTACCTCATAAACGTTCGATCGTCACGAAGACCTGCGAACGCGATGTGAATGTATTTAAATACACGTACATATGACTTTTTTTTCTGCGATTACACGTACCGACCATATTCATTTTCACATTGATATTAATAACGAACGAAATTGAGGAAACGAGAGAATAATAGATATAATATTTTGTGTAACAGTTATACACATTGTACACACACTTTACGGTCATTATTTTTGACAAAAGTCGATCGTTATTTGTAATAAATACATTTCGTGAAATTGTAATTCAGTTAAGCAACGCTTCAGAAGAAGAGAACCTTCTCGCGTTTGCTTCTTACTTTTTTTACGGGCATTCCTAAAGAACTGGTCTGAACGAACGTGCACTTTCACTTAAATCCGTATGGGTGAAGCGAGTGCGCCAGAAAAAGCCGTCGATCTTAATTTCAGTTACAGAAGATTTAATTCGGAGTGAAAATCGTATTCATTCTAACGTCAGTCCGCGGCATTAAAATATCTTTTATACATAGAGCAACAGTAATTTTTCATTCTTTCCGTCACATTTGAATTAGCAAGGATATTTTTTCCATTTTCTTCCTTAAGAAATTATCGACGTAGTCGTTAAAATACGCGAAAGAAACCCGGGAAGACCCGCGCAAAACCATTTTCATGATTTTAGCAGAATTCTTTTTATTCCTCGTTCTTTAACGGAAGACACATAGCCTAGCGATCTCGACATAAAACAGCATCCTGCCGAGTTCTGGTCTTCCCGTTAAGGCCCGGTGAAATCAATATTGTCCGTCCGGACATCCGCAAACGTTCCATCGCCGTCTTCTTTAAAAATTAACGCGCCGCACCCTATCCTCGGGCACAGCACCCGCTATTCTCTCGGCTCGCAATTGAATTCACGCTGGACGGACGAAAATTTTTTATGAAAATTGTAAATGATCGTGCGCCGCATTTTGCGCAGTGCGACAATTTGTAGAATTTGCAGTTATACCCGATAAACGACAATGAACTCCGAAAGAGACCCCGTCTTATCTACAAATCTCTCGAATATGATAAATTGTATCGTACATTATATCGATTGTTACTACCGTGAGCGGCGCCTGTCGAGATCTATCTATTCGGTTTTTAAAGGCGGCACATTGTAAACGAGGGACTTAAAGGGATATACGGTGACTAGAGAGCTATTCGGTCCGCTTTATCCCCTCGAACGGATCCACTGAGCAGCTTGGAGCAGGCTGAAATTGCTTGGTGCAATTGATCCTTGATCCGACGTGTTATACAGGGTGTTATGTAATACCCGCCTCACCTCGTATTTACGGATAGAGCGGACTAGACTATATCGAAAAGTCCTGTACCATTTTGCCATTTTCGCAATAGTTAACGAGTTACTAATTATTAATAATTGCTGTCTTAACCCGGCCTACCGCCCAATTCAAGCTCGCGGTGAGATGCGGCCGTCCCGCGATCGGCGTTGCTAGGCGCGCGGAGAATTGTTTATGACACTCGGCAAGGGCTACGTCGAGAGAAAAACCGTTGACCAAAATCTTGTACACCAATGCCCACTAATGCCCAGTGGGCATTACTTTATCTTATTTTATCTTTATAATGCCCCAGCAAGGCCTAATGCCCAAACTAATGCCCAAAAATGCCTAGTAATGCCCAGTAATACCGCAACTCTGTACACCACAATGCCCTCAGCGGTTCCCCCCTCGGGCTACGTATAATGAACATATCCCCAAG